AGTGCCCAATTAGGTCTTGATTATTGTGTTCCACCATACTCTCCGCGTCCCCCCCTCCTCCCCTCCCTGGGGGAGGCCGAGGCCCGCAAGTGCAGTTAACCCTCGAAAAACCACCCAACAACGACGGATATACGGTCCCTAGCACCGTTTAGGAGGGGATCCTGAGTTTGGCGGTCGGGAGTTACCGCGGTCACGAGATGGAGGTAGATCGNGGTTTGGACGCCGGGGCAAGGCAGCAGTGGAGAGCACGGAGAGGGTGGCGGGATGATCGCACACCGTGTGGGTAAGCACCCAACAGGGGGACGGAAAGGGTCCAGAGCTGGAGAGCCACGCCGCTCCGGGACAGGAAGACACCTCGCTGGGAAAGGCAAGCACCCGAGGATCCGCAGGGCAATCAGAAAAAAACAAATAAAACAAGGAAGGAAGAAGAGGAGGAGGGGCCGGAAGGTGCGTAGGCTGATTAGGGATGCAGCACGCACCGCCCGGGAGAGGCGGCAGGGTCTACTTGTTAAGGTAGCAACCTGCAATGTGCGTACACTGGCCGTGAACAGGGCCAACGGCTATGGGAGAGCCGACAGCGTCCTACACGAGGCAGCGAAACAGGACATTTCGTTTGTCGGTCTGCAGGAGGTCAGGAGACCAGGGCGAACGGAGTTCACAGCATCCGGTTTTCGGGTGTTCACCTGTGGCACGGACAAGGGTGGTACGCATGGCGTCGGAATCGCTGTGGAGGAGGCGCTGTGCAAGGCCTCCCAGTACACCACGGAGTACGTTGACGAGCGCCTCATGGCTATGAGGTTTGAGATGACGGGCCACCGCGGAGCGGTGAACTTCGTTGCTGCGTATGCCCCAACAGACGTCGCCACCGCCGACAGTAAACGCATGTTCTGGGAAAAACTTGACAGTCTCGTGCGGCGTATCCCCGCTAAGGAGTGTCTTTTCGTGCTCATGGATGCCAATGCCCAGACCGGAGGGTGGATAGCCGGGGAAAACGAAGGAACCATGGGCGAGTACGGGCGCAATGAGCTAAACGACAACGGTCGGCTGCTGCTGACCTTCGCCACAGACAACAGACTAGCGGTCCTCAACACCTTCTTCGACACATGGAGGAGCGGGATATGGTATAATACGTTCAACGGCCCGTCGGGACGCGAACGTAGGTGCCTCGATTACATCCTGACGCGCCAA